CCAGGGTGCCATGGGTTTCTTGGCTTTCGATAGTTTTGCTGTGGAAGGCGTGACTTTCCAGCGCCAGAAATCAATGGACGTCCTGGGGTCTCAGGGTTGGTTTCTTGTGGAAGGTTTCTTGTGCTCGGACCCCTACTGTACGGCAGGTTACCGTCGTGTCCACGCGGCGGCGAACCGCCGCGTGCGTTCGAGTTTGAACTCCGCCAGTGGTCCAGAATCGGCCAACGTGGAATGACCTGGAGATCGAGGAGCCGCCCATGGGTCAAGCTGAAACGATCAACGTGGTTTCAGAAAATCACGCCTGGGCCGTCACGACACGAACCTACTGCAAACTTCCAGCCGAGCACGTGGAAGCAGTAATTGCTTTCGACGCACCCCCCTCGGATCACGAGGGCAGCAAGGCGATTTTATTCCCCAGGCAATTGCATTGACGATGGCACCACTCGCTGGGCTTCACAGCGCAAACAAGACATGGGTGTTGACGCGATCAGCGATAGCATGTATGTCCGACCTGGCGGTGCTCGAGGTCGGCAGCGAACATTCAGAGGGGCGGGGGGACGCGTTCGCTTTGAATCTACAATCCAGACGGCCCTTATGCACATGCTATGGAATAAACTAAAGCGCGGCACATTCTCCTATGGGCACATCGCGGAGCCACGCACCTGAAGCCACGCAGAATGCGCAAACAATAATGTCCGAGCGAGCAGCTTTCGATTAGATTCAACTCACAAATCGGCTGCGTGGTTTTGACGATGCATGCGCGAGCCTCGGGGAAGATAGCATACATCACAACGTATACGAGCGCCTCCCTCTCTAATATCGCCAGGTGCAGACTTGCTTAGCCCCTCCCCCCAGAACGCCTTTAAGCTTGATTCAACGAAGGGGGGGGCATCGAGAGAGGTGTCTGCAACTTTAACGAGGGCCGCAGCTCCAACGGCTGGGAGGATAGCAGGACCAAGAAAGGGGGCCTCGAGGGGGAGAGGAGGAATCCTCTTTTCTCCGCTTTCTGCCCGCCTTCCCTCTCCACAGCCGCACCCACGTGGGGGAACTACAAGGCTCCTCTGGGAGCGCCTCGTCGGCTGGGCGTTCCCGCACCCTTTGTCCTTCTCTCATGTCTGTCTCTGACCTGGACCTCACTCTCCCCTCCCTCGGCGGGCCGTGCACCTCCGCAGCCACATTGGCCCAATATCTTCGGCGCCGCACGATCCAGGGCCAAGGCCTCGCTGCACCGCTCGGCCGTCGGCCCGCGCGGCGATGAGACGCCCGCGCGCCCGGCCCGCCCTCTGGCAGCGCACCTCCGCCGTCCGTCTGCGCCGCCGCGCCCATCCGCCACAGCGCCTGGAGGTGAGGGGGGGCTGGGGGCGGTCCGGACCCCAGGGCCCCAGAGCGGGAGGGGCGGGCCACGAGCTCGGCATCGCTCGGACGCGTGCGTACTCCTCGGCCAGGACAAGCGAGGAGCAGATTGGGCCACCTCGCGATACAAGTACACGCACGGAATCGAAGAATGCACGGGGAATGGACGTCCGAGCGATGGCGAGGAGTGGGAGGTGCGATCCACGAGTCGAGTGAGGCTGGCACGAGGGTCAGGAGCACCCCGCCGTTGGACGGGCACCGTCGTATTCTTCGTGCCGTGGGCGTCGTATTCTTCATCTTGGATATCTCCGTGGGGCCTCGCGACTTGCGAAGGGGCTCGTGTTCTTGACCCGCGCTCTTGTGGCCCTGTCTCGATTGCAAGAAAAGATAAAAGCATCAGCCTAAACTATGGGAGGCCCGCGCGGATGTCTCGGACCAGCGCCGGAGGCGCCGCCAGGGGGGTCCAGGGGTCCAGCGCCGAGTCGAGACATCTGCGCGGACCTCCGAAAGTTTCTGATTATGCCCTTCTTCCTTCCTCCGACGAGGGAGGTCGTGGCGAGAAGGAGATCGGCCCCCAACCGCCATCTCCTCTGCCTTCGCCTCCTCTGCCGCCTCCTCTTACTCCTCAGACCCCCCCCCTCCTCAGCCCCCTCTTTTCCCTATAGATAATTCCTCCCTGTCGCACCCCGAGACCGTGCGCTTCGCCTGAGAATTCCTCACCACTGATGACCTTGATGTTTAAAAATTGGCTCCAGCTTCACAGATGGAGGGCAGGTGGTTTTCAAAATGTGGATCGCGCCTGAGCGCTGCGCACATTCGTTTTCGAAGATTGCAAGAGCTTCACGGAGTGAGGGCGGGTCGTTTTCAAAATGTGGTTCTCGCTTTAGCACAGCGCACGTTCGTTCTGAAAAGCTGCAAGGGCTTCACGGATTGAGGGCGGCTTGTTTCCAACATGTGGTTCTCGCTTTAGCGTTGTGCACATTCGATTTACAGTTGCAAGAGTTTGATTGGTTCTCATGGTTAACGTACAAACAATGGCGTTTTGGAACGATTCAGGATTGTCAGGGCGCAACAGTTACGTTGATTCGCGGTGTTAAAGTCCTAGGTATGCTGTTCTGGCACGACCCAGGATTGCCGAAACGCAACAGTCAGCTTAACTCGTGGCGTCAAAGTCCTGAGAATGGTGATTTGGCACGCTTCAAGATGTTCACACAGTTGTCCCCCAACTGGGCAATTCCTTCACTGGAAATGACCCTTCGTAGGAGCCCATGGAGAGGGATCTTGGAGGGAGGGTGTATTTCAACATCGTCGATGCCCCCCCTCCCCCCCTTCCCCCCTCCTCTTCCTCCTCTTCCCCCTCCTCCCCCCCCTCCTCCTCCTCCTCCTCTTCCTCTGCCCCCTAAACACCGTCAGCCCCCCGCGGCGCCGATCGGAACTCTCGCACGCCCGGAGCGCGCCGCGGGCGCGGAGGCAGACCTGAGGCCTGCCGCCCAGGCATGCGGCCAGGAATGGCACTCGCCCCGGACTCTCAGGGGCAACGACACGGCCGGACCGAGGTATTCCAGATGTCGTAATAAAGGGAGGGGGGTCTCATTTCGGGGGGGGTCTCTTCCAGGCTATCTTGGAGGGCCTGGGGGGGTCTGGGGACGATGTTTTGGAGGGTTCTCCCACGGGGGGGTCTAAAACTTCTCGTCTGGGAGGGTTGAGACCCCCTCCCTTTTATTACGAAATCTGGAGTACACAGCCGACGCGCCCAGTAAGGACGCGCGCCTTCATCTAAGGTACCCTCTGTGTCCTTGCCTCTGCGGCCCGTCCTCTGCCGTTTTCACTCGGCCGCCCCCCAAAAAATCCCGGCTTCGGCCTGCAAGTGTCTTGCGTCCTTGCCACCCGTCCGTAATACACGTTTTGACTGTGATGTCGAGGTTACTTCGGGACGGGTGCCCTAATGTTCTTCGTGTGTGTGTGTGTGTCGCCATGTTCTTGCGCATCCTGGGGGAGGGCACCCTCGCAATGCTCTCCAGTTTGGCTGGCAGAGGGTGTCATGTTCTTGAAGGACGTTCTTCTGTCGTTGGTCTGGCTGCAAGGGTCGGGCTGGACGAAAGGGGGAGATTGGGAAAGGGGGGGTTACGAAATTTGCTGCATGCAGCTGGTCTTGGCCCCACCGAGGGGCCCATTCCTCGATACATGGCCGCCTCCGGCGCCGGGAGGCGCCGGGAAAATCAGCCACGTGAGCTGATTCTCAAACCCCCCCCTTTGCTATCCCCCCCTTTCGCCCGACCCGAAAGGGAGGGAGGAGGAGGAGGAGGAGGAGGAGGCCTTCCCAGAAAGCGGCGGGACTTTCCCAGAAAGGGGGGGGGCAGGCTCAGGGAGGGGCGAGAGCTTCGAGGCTCGAGGGCCTCGGGCGTCTTCCCTGGGTGCTCGGCGGGTGTGTCCAGCCTCGGGGCGCCTTCCGGCGGCGGCGCCTTGCCGAGATCGCTCCCGGGGGGGCCCGCATCGCCCCGGAGGGCCGTCGGAGGCCCGAGTGGAGGCCCAGAAATCACCGAGGACGGGGCCAGGCTCAGGCTTGGCATCGCTCGGACGTGTGCATTTTTCCTTCGGCGAGGGCCATCGAGGAGCAGCCTTGATCATTTGGCGAGAAAACCACGAACGAAACCGAAAAAAACACAGACACAGGGAATGGACGTCCGAGCGATGGCGAGCAGGGGGGGGGCGCGCCGGCTCCCACTCGCCCACTGCCCGCCGAGAAGGGCCCGACAGCCCACCCCACCCAGTGGCGTGCAGTCTCGCCATCGGGGGGGCCCTGCGCCGATTCCAGGTCGATGTTTCCCCCCCCACCCACCGGTGCCAGTCCCCCCCCCCACCTATCGTTGCCCCCCAGGACTGCGGCACCTCCGTGGAGGCCCGCTCGGTGGTCTGCCTGCTGTGCCTGAGCTCCCTGCCCGCCGCCGGCGCGAGGGAGCCCCCCGCCAAGGGCGCGGAGGCCGCCCCGGGCGCATATTCGGCGTGCGAGGCGCTGGTGCAAGGCCTGCTCATCGGGGTTCTGGCCATCGCGACGGCGGCCCTGAGGTCGGGGGGGCCGAAATGGGTAAGGAGACGAGGGGCACAAAGCCCAACAGCAGATGCTGCTCACTCGGAACCGGATTCGCTGTCGGCGTCGCGGCGGATGCTGCCCACGTGAGGCAGAAGGCCGCCGGCCCCGCGGCGGCCGCTGTCGGTCGTGGGCCACGCTTGCTGTTGGGCATCCTGCCCGCTCCCTCCGTTCGGGCGAAGAGAACTATGCACATGCACCGATCCTGGCAAGGCCCATCCTTGACCCGGGACCGGTGCATCTGCCTGCCTGGCCAAGGTGGGAGGGCGTATGCACCGATCCTGGGCTCAGGGTGGGCCTGGCCAGAATCGGTGCATGTGCATAGTTCTCTCTCCTCTATCCGTGCCCCTTCCGGGCGCCCGGACGAGGGACCGCTGCGGCTCCGCGCTCCGCTCCCTGCGCGCCCGGCCCCGCAGCGCGCCGCAGGACCCGGCGCCGGGCGAGCCGGCGGGCGCCGCGGCGGGGGCGAGTGGCGGGGAGCCGCCGGCGGGATCCGCCGCCGCGGCGAGCCCCCAGGGCAGAGGCGGCCGCCCCGCCGTGCCTCGGGGGCGGCCAAAGGGGGGGGGGCGGGGACGACGGGGGGGCCAGGAGGCGGCGGAAGCGAAGGCGGAAGCGAGTGCGGAAATTTGGTGGAAGCTGCCTGGGGCCAGGAGGCGGAAGCAGGCGGAGTCTGACGAGGGCCTGTGGGCTCCCGAGCCTCACAGGCCGCGGTCGAGCAGGACTACAAAGTCCCCAGGCCGCAGAAGCTGGACCAGGGAGGATCTCATGGCCCAGGAAGACAATCATCGGGCTGGGAGGATGGGATTGGGAGGCATGAGGAGATCCTTACCCGCAGGCGGCCGCAGGCTTCGTTCAGGAAGCATCCAGGGGCTATGGCTCATGCCCTTCCTCCTCCCCACCCATTTTCCTCCCAGCGCGATGGTGGCGGGGGCCGTGACACCCCCCCGGATCTCATGGTCCCCTCTTCTAGCGGCCTCTCCGAAGCCTGGCAGGAGCCTCGCAGAGGCCTCCAGGGAGCCCCGCAGAGGCCTCCTTCAGGAGCCTGGCGGCGGCCTCCCGGGAGCCTCGCAGGGGCCTCGCAGGAGCCCCGCAGAGGCCCCTCTCGGGATGCCGTGCGTCCCCCTGGCCCGGCCCTCGCCCGCGCACGCGTGGGCGCCGCGGCGCGCCAGGGGCGCGCCGCACGCGCGCTTTCTGGGCGGCCGGGGCCACCCGGCCACGGGAGGCGCGGGCGGACCCGGTGCAGGGGGAGGGGGGGGGCGGGCGACAGCGGCCGCGGGGGAGGAGGGAGGAGGGTAGGAGGGAGGAGAGAGCACGCAGACACAGGGAGCCGCCGATCCCCGGGAGAAGAGGGACGGGAAAGTATGGAGAGCGAGGGAGGAGGAGGAGGAGGAGGAGGAGGAGGAGGAGGAGGAGGAGGAGGAGGAGGACGAAGCCCCAGAGAACGTAGGAAAAGATGGGGGGCCCCGGGATCTGCCTCTGTCTATTTTTGCGCGTGTCCCTGGGCCCCGGGAGGGAGGGAATGGGGGAGGGCACTCGCGTGGCAGGGCGCGTCGCCGTGGAGCAGCCTCGTCCGCGCACGCGCCTCGCCGCCCCCGAGGTGTTCCGGTGCGCGAAGGGAGGCCGCGGCCGAGGCTCCCCAGCGGCCGCGGGCGAGTCGGGCGGCTTCGGCGAGATGTTGGCGGCCGCGCGCAGCCGTGCCCCAGAATCGCCAGGCGCCGGAAGAGGAAAAGGTGCCGACACACGCCGGTCGCTGACAGCATGTAGCTCTGGATTCCCAGGCCTCTCTATATCTACTTCAAGCGCCTTCCCAGCTCAAGGATCGATATGCTCTTGCTGTGTGTTTTGTTTTTGCTTTGTGATTTCATGTGAGGTCCTGAACCCAATCATCCTGATCCATCCGCCTTCCTACTTTCAGGTTTCTTTACTTACGTCTTCCGACCGACGTGTACCAGGAGGGGGGGAAAGACACACACACACAGAGACACAATCAATCGTCGAACCCCAGAAAAATAAGGGAAAAGATGAGAAGTGGGGGGAGGATAAGACGAAAATCCAGAAATTCCCCCCCCCCCAAAAAAAAAGAATGGGAATCTTGGGAGGTGTGTGCATCTGTTTGTGTGCCCCTGGGCCCCATCCGATGCACAGATGCCGCTCCCGCTCTCTCGCGGGTGGCCACGCCTGGGGCCGCCTCGAAATCCTGGCCCGAGGCAGAGGGCGCCCTCGGGAGGGGTCCGGAGGGCCGCGGTGTCGGTGCGCACGTGCTGCTTCCCCGAAGGCGGGGCTCCAGCGGCCGGCGCCGCGGGGTCCTCGCCGGCGCAGCGCCTGGCGCTGCCCAGGCCCGGGCGAGGCGCGCGGGTGCTGCAGATGCGCGCCAAGGTGGGCGAGTTCGACTCGCTGCGCTTCGACGAGGTCGACACCACGGAGCAGATGGGGCTGACCTGTCGCATGCTGGCCACGCTGAAGTCCTTCGCTCAGGACGTGACCTACTGGGAGGAGGACCGCAAGATCGACGAGCCCGCCTTCCGCCTGCTCGACCTCGACGAGGTCGCGCAGTTCGCGCTGCTGCGAGCCGCCGAGAGGGCCGAGGCGCTGGTCGAGGAGCGCTGCTGGCGCGAGGCGTACCGAGAGCTGTGCGCGGCGCGCCCCTGGCTGCCCCGGGAGTCTCGCGGCGGCCCCGCCGCGGAGCAGCGCGCGGCCGCGGAGGCCGAGATGGCCCGGGCCGAGGAGCGGGCCAGGCGGGAGGACGCAGAGCTCGAGGCCCTGCCCCGGAAGGACCCGTGCAGCAGCAGCAGCAGCGCCGCCGACGGGTCCCCAGGAGTCCAGGGAGGCTCAAGGAAGAACAAGCGGACATAGACTCGCCGGAGAAAGCCCAAGCGGTGGATGGTTTCATCGATGGTGATATCGATGGCGAGGTCGATTGGGTGAGATGGGTAGTGAGATCGATCATGAGATCGATGGGGAGCTCGATCGTGGGATCCCGAAATCGGCCCAGAATCAGCAACCGGGGAACCCAGAACCGGATTTCTTGGATCCGCGCTGGGCCCCCCTGGCGGCGCCTCCGGCCCCCCTGGCGGCGCCTCCAGCGCCGCTCCTGGCGCGCTCCGCGCGCCAAGGAGGGGGTCCAGCGCAGATCCAAGAAATTCGCGCGGAGCGCCATTATGCTCATGGCGTCCTCTATTCTTATTATTATCATTATTATTATTATTATTAGTATTATTATTAGTATTATTATTATTATTACTATTATTATTATTATCATTATTATTATTCTTATTATTATTATGTGTCTTATTATTCTTATTCTTCGTCTTATTAGTATTATTATTATTATTATTATTATTCTTCTTCTTATCAGTATTCTTCTTCTTCTTCTGATTATTATTATTATTCTTATTAGTATTATTGGTATTATTAGTAGTATTATTATTATTACTATTAGTATTAGTATTATGATTAGTAGTATTAATATTCTTATTACTATTAGTATTACTATTATTACTATTATTATTAGTATTATTATTACTACTACTACTATTATTATTTTTATTATTATGATTATTTGTAGTAGTATTAGTATTATTATTAGTAATATTATTATCATTATTATTATTATTATTCGTGTTCGTATTCTCCTTCTTCTTATTATTATTCTTCTTCTTCTTCTACAGGCCAGACGTACCCCAGAACAGACGCACCCCAGAGAGAGGGGGGCCTCAGGGCCCACCGCTGGGCGCCCAGCGGCCGCGCCTGGCGCCCCCACCGCGGCCGGATCCGCGGCCGCGGCGGCACCTCCCTGCGGGGGGCGCGTCGTCCTGGGGCTACGTCAGGCCCTCCCCGAAGGATCCGACAGCGTCGCGATCATCTCGGGTCGGGCGAAATGGGGGGATTGGGAAAGGGGGGTCACGAAATTTGCTGCATGCAGCTGGTTTCGGCCTCTCCGAGGGGCCCATTCCTCGATACATAGCCGCCTCCGGCGCCGGGAGGCGCCGGGAAAATCAGCTACGTGATGCTAATTCTCAAACCCCCCCTTTGCTGTCCCCCCCTTTTGCCCGACCCGATCCCTGGGGGGGCGCGTCGTCCTGGGGCTGCGTCAGGCCCTCCCCGAAGGATCCGACAGCGTCGCGATCATCGTGCGCCTGCCGGAGGGCGGCACCAGCCGCGTGCTCGGGCAGAAGGCGAACTACGATGTTCCAACCTGCTTTGTCTTGAGCACCAGGAAGAATTTCGAGCACCAGGAAAGCACCGAAACGGAGGGGTGTCTTTCACGTGTCGGGCCCTGGGAGGCGAGGCTCGTTCGACACCGTTTCGAGACTGTTCGGGGTGCTCGAAATTATTTCTGGGATGTGGTCCGTAAGCACGATGGGGACAACACACCTGGACATGCGACTTCCTGATTTGTTCAGGGCGGCGTCTCCCCGGAAGTCCACAGACCCTCTCCCCGGGGCCGCTTTCTCGTCCTATGAGCCGTTTTGTTGCAGGCCTGGGGCCCGACGAGCGCCCCCAGGGGGCAGAACATAGCGAAAGAGTTTAGGCCTGATTTTTGCACGGCGCGATCATGTCCGGAGGCCTGGAAATGGGCACCAACGCCAACAAAGGAGGGCTGCCTCCACAGGGGGAAGATGGTCCCAGATTCCGGTGCTGGTGGTCATAGTTCGGCCACCGCGGAAGCCAGAATGTTGCCAACATCACCGAGATCGGGATTTTCTTCACTCGGTGGAGGCACACCGCCGATATTGGTGTTGGTGTCGACCTCTGGGCCTCCCAGTCTGGGCAAGCAGAAGGCCGCGACGCTCGCGGCGCTCCGGGCGGAGACCGGCGCCCGCGTGTGGCTGGACCAGGCCACGGGCGAGGCCCACGTCTCCGGGCCGGCGGGCGCCGTGGAGGCCGCCCGGCGCGGCATCAAGTTCCTGCTGACGCCGGTGAAGGCCAGGAAGACGGTTGTCGGGCTGGGATCCTCCTCCTCCTCCGCCTCCTCCTCCTACTACTCCTCCGCCTCCGCCTCCGCCTCCGCCTCCGCCTCCTCCTCCTCCTCCTCCTCCTCCTCCTCCTCCTCCTCCTCCTCCTCCTCCTCCTCCTCCGCCTCCTCCTCCTCCTCCTCCTCCTCCTCCTCCTCCTCCTCCTCCTCCTCCTCCTCCTCCTCCGCCTCCTCCGCCTCCGCCTCCGCCTCCGCCTCCGCCTCCGCCTCCTCATCATCCTCCCCCTCCTCCCTCCTCCCTCCTCCCTCCTCCCTCCTCCCTTCTCTCTCCTCCCTCCCTCATCCCTTCTCTCTCCTCCCTCCTCCCTCCTTCCTCTTCCCCCTCCCTCCAGCGAGGACATCCGTACCCGTAGGCGGCCGAAGGCATCGTTCATTGCATCCCGACGCTCTTGCGGATGCCCTTCGTCGTCCCAACCCCCCTCCTCCCAGCACGAGAACTGTGCTCCTCAGAGAAGGGCGGGGAGGCAGATGGGCCGCTGGCCAGCGCTCCTCCGCCGACCGTGGAGAAGCCGCCGGCCAGCGCTCCGCCGAGCGCGGAGAAGGAGGGCAGCCGCGGCCCGTCGCATGTTCGGCGGAGGCGGTGAGCGCGGCGGCCGGGGGGGGCAGAGAGCAGACCGCTGCGGCCCAGCAGCTGAGCCCAGGGCCTTGGCATCGCTCAGACGTGTGCGTGTTTTTCTCGGCGAGGACCATCGAGGAGCATCCTAGATCATCTGGCCGAAAGAGTACGCACGAAGCCAAAAAATGCACGGGGACTGGACGTCCGAGCGATGGCCAGGGGCGGCCCAGCCAAGACGGCAGCGCGCTTGCGCAGGCCGCCAAGATGGCAGCGCGCGTGCGCAGGCCAGAGGCGCGGAGACGCCGCAGCCGCTGCGGTGGACAAGAATCTGTTTAAGCAAGTTTCAGAGGTTGTCAGAGGTGGCCCTGCCCCAATGTGCCCCCCCAGCCGTCGTCGCCATGTAGGACGTTCCAGAAAAGGCTCGTTTTCGGCGCGTCCTCGCCCTCGACGGAAGTAAAACGGCGGCAGATCCGCCAGCGGACGGCGGCGGAAGTAGAAGTGAGACGTCAACACGTTTAGGTTTCGGGGTCTCCAGGCCGTTTGGATTTCGCGGGGGGTGTTCTGGAGGCCCTGGGGTTACAATCCAGCCCCGTGCTACGTGTGATTCCCCCAGATACGAGCACAAGACTCCCCAAAGTATGAAACGAACGTTGTTGTATTTTGTGCGCGAAGTTTGTTTTTATCCTAACCATCTTTTGGTGTTGGGTCTTTGTTTTAAAGGGACAGCGCCCCGCCTCCTCCTCTCTTCTCCTCCTCCCCCTCCTCCCTCCTCTTATCCTTGCTTCTCCCCTCCTCACCAGTCAACCATATCGGCACACATCTCACGTTTCGTGGCCCTATATGGAGCCCCACCGAATGCGCCACTGGCGCAGTTCGCGTTCGTCCCGGTCACCCATTACGGCACACACCCCACACGTTTCGTGACCCCACAGGTAGCTCCACGGAAGGTCCCACTGGCGCATTTCGCATGCATCCCGGCCACATATTTCGGCACACCCTTACACCATTCGTAACCCCATGCGGAGCTCCACCTAAGGCTGCAGTGGCGCAGTTCGCATGCGTCCCGGCCACCCATTGCGGCACACCCCTCGCACGTTTCGTGGCCCCATATGGAGCTCTACCGAAGACGCTACCGGCGCAGTTCGCATGCGCCCCGGCCACCAATTTCGGCACACCCGTCACACGGTTCGTGGCCCCACGGGGAGCCCTATCTAAAGTCCCAGTGGCGCAGTTCGCATGCGCCCCAATCACCCATTTCGGCGCACCCCTCTCACGTTTCGCGGCCCCACAGGGAGCTCCACATAAGGTCCCACTGGTGCAGTTCGCATGCGTCCTGGCCGTTCATGCCAGCACACCACTCACACGTTTCGTGGCCCCATGCGGTGCTCCACCCAAGGTCCCACTGGCGCTATTCGCATGTCCAGCCATGTCGGCACACCCCTCAGACGCTTCGTGGCCCAATAAGGAGCTCCACCGAAGGCGCCAATGGCAGCGCCAACATGGCAGCTCCGCCCCATTTCGGCACACCGCTCATACGTTTTGTGGCCCCCAGAAAGGAGGCTCTACTCAGGCCCCAGAGACAGCGCCCGCCCAGTTTCGGCACACCCTTCACACGCTTCGCGGCCCCATGAGGAGATCGACCGAAGGCGATACCCACAAGCCCGGTACTCAAAACTGCATGTGGTCGGGTCTTTCGCCCGGATATTTACATCTTTGTGGTCATATAAACAATTAGGTTGCAAGATTTGGGAATGTGTAAAATATTTGTTCGTCGCGTTGTCTTCATGCGCGCACCGCGAGAAAACGATGTCGATGCTGCTGCTTGCGCGTCGGCGAGATACTGGTCGCGCCGCGTACCAGGCTCGCGCGCGCATCTTTCTCCGCTTGCGCCGCGCGCATTTTCGCTTGCGCGCGCGAGAACGCGTGGAGCACGCGCTCTGCTCCGAGTTTCCGTCGCGCTGTTCTTTGAGCAGGCGCTCGCTGGATGCGCGGCTGTGCCCGCGCTGTCATGGTTTGCGTTGGTTGCGCAATGCGTTACTTGCGCGCTGGCAGGGCGGCGGCGCGTTCGTTTGACGCTGCCCCCTCCCGTCGCCAATGCGCACGAGCGCCCGCATTGCGCGGGTTCGCGTCTGCGCGGATGCGCGCCCAGCGCTGAGGACGCCCATTCGAGCGATCCTTTTTGGGAAATTCGCGAACGACCGAGGTCGCGGACGCCGGCCTGCAGGCAAAGTGCGAGCCCGCGTGGGCCCCAACCAATTTGTCATAGCATACTATGTGGTGTAATCTAGATGGCGCGGTCTATGGGCCGCGACCCATGCGGCGCAGCGCGCGTGGTGCCATCTAAGTGGCACCATCTAAGTGGCGCAACCTTGCCAGTGCAATTTAAGCAGTTCAATATATGGAGCGCAACCAAGGTTGCGCAGTCTAGGCGGTACAATGCAAGCTGCGCGCTCTACGCATGCCCCTCGATATGGCGCAAGCAACGCGGTACAATGCGCGGCGCGCTGTCGACTGTGCATTCTTTTCAGCGCGGTCTACGCGGCGCAGCCCATGCGGCGCCATTCTACTGGCGCGACCTTAAGTAGCGCAATCTACGCGGCGCAGTCAGCGCGGCCCAGCGTGCGCGGCGCAATCTCGGCGGCGCGGAACAGGCTCAGCCCCTGGCCCGCGCGCGAAAAGACGGCAGCACCGGGGGGTCCAAGTCGCAGCTGGGCAGGGGGCGCGGCGGTGCAACGGCGGAAACAACTACCGAGCGGCCGTTTCTCGACGTCGCCGCCACGGGCACGGGGAAACTGGGGCCGGGCGACTCGCGGCCTGAGCCGAAGCACTGCCATTGCCCAGGTTCGAGGGCGCGAAGATCATCGCGCGCCGCGCGTCGCGCCCCCCTTGGGGGCCCCGGTTGGCGCGCGTCGCATGGCCGAGATCAGTTGCGCCCGCGTCGGCGCGCGTTGGATTGGAGACGCGCCCCGCATCATCGCATGGTTCCCTTATGGCTTATGATGGTCATCTTCTGTGCTCCGCGACCGCTACGGCACGACATCATAACCCGCCGGGCCAGGGGGGCCACGCGCCGGGCTGGGGCGCCGCCGACGGGCGCGGGGAGGGCCCGAGCGCCCGCCCCATGGAAGAGGTGCGCGTTTTTGTCACGGGCGCCAGGGCTGCAGTTGCGAATCGCACAAGCGCGCCGCGCACCCCCAGCGACGAGCATTCAGCTGCGCGCGCTCACCGCGCGCACCCCCATTGCGTCGCAGATCAGTCGGCCGCCCACGCCCGCCAAGCTCCTCGCGCGAATGCGCGGCCCACCGGCAGCGCGCCCAGGGCCGCGCCGTCGTCGGGCCGCCCCGTCGACGCCAACGCCCGCCCGCCGACGTCGCGGCCGACTTCGCTCGCCGAGCCACTGCAGATGGACCGGGCAGCCACGCGGCGCAAGCAACGGGCCCCCCCGCCCGCCGCCGGCCGCAGGCCGCGGGAGGTCGCCCCCGACCCCGGCGGCTCTCGGCCCCAAGAAAGGCGGGGGGGGGCGCGCCAGGGGCGACGGCCGGGGGGCGGCGGAGAAGGGGGCCCGAGCGCGCTCCGTGCCGACGCCTTCAAGGGAGAGCGAGGCCCAGCATTCTGGGCCGCGAGCGGAGGCGCGCCCCCCCTTCCACCAGTCTCAGCCTTCCGCGACGGCGCTTGCACGATCGGGGCCTTCGGGCCCCCACGCGCCCGCGAGGTGGGCGACGACGAGGGGGCGGGAGCAGAGCGGGCGGGGGCGGGCGGGGGCGGCACGCGATCGGAGGGGCGGCGGCGGCGGGGGGGGGCCAGCGGGGAAGCGAACCCGCCATGGCCAAGCGCGCATGACGAATGCGCCGTTTGGGGCCCGCGCCGCGACGCCATCTACATCGCCTGCGCTGTCGTGGCTGTCATGGGGAAGACAACGCTGCCCAAGTTGCGCGCGCTGGCTTTGGGCGCGCGGGCGAACGACAGGTCGCATCAGCAGTCTGCGTCGGAGGCGCCGACAACAGGCCATAGAGGGGGGCGTTGGGAGCGGGGCGCGGCCGTCCACAACTGCGCGCACGATGAGACCCGGCCAGAGGCTAGGCTGAGACACGCTCTGGACTTCTCCCGGGCTCTCAAATCGGGGCGAGGCCAGGCGCCGGCGGCATTGCGCAGCCGCGGCCGTCGCTCGCTCGAGGCGCAAGTCGCCACGGAGATTTTTCATTGCAAGTTCGGAGCGGGGGCACATGGCATCTTGCAGGAGCCCGCGCAGCGGCCAGCAGAGGCCCCTGGCGCTCGTCGGCGCAACTGTCTGTCAGATTGTCAAATTCTGGCGCTGGAGCTTAACTTCGGCGAAAACTTCCGCGAAGAGTTTGCAGCTGAGCAGCGCCCACCGCGTCGCAGACAGACTCGCGAAGCCCTACGTTCGCAATGTCTGCAAGGACAGACATTCCAGCGATCACGCGGCAGAGCGCATGCATCGCGCGGGCATGCTGCATGATGCAACTTTGCATGGGCTTGAAATCGGCTGCGAGAGCCACTCGACCGCGACTACCCGCGAGAAGTTTGCGAAGACCCTGAAGCCCATCATGTCGGGGACGCCCCGCGTTGCCAAGAGCTTCGACGCCATCGGGGGCTGGAACGAACTTCGACAGGGCGCCCCAAGATGTCATTCTGAGCATACCCGTCGAGGCCAGTCGTCGATTGAGCACCTGCAACACTCGCAGATAGTTCTTAGATGCTGCACGCCGAATGTGAGACGGGCCAATGAGCAGAGGGCTGCGCCCTGGAGAATGCTTCCAAATCGAAATGGGCAAGACCATGACAACATCGATGTCTGGACTCCGTTCGGAGTGGACGTCGGCGACGAAGGCCAGCTCAAGACGGACAGCGACCTCCGCTCGGCGAACTGCGCGTTCATGAGCACGCGGAAGTTGTACGCCATGTCCCGCTGGAACGGTTCATAGGAGCCGTGCCGCGAAGAAGTGCCGCTAGGCTTGCGCCGCAGGGCTTGGGGAACCTACCCACGGGCCGCGGGCGGCGCGTCACAAG